CAAACGGATGGACTTAGGGAGACGTTTATGGGTCCATTTTGTAGAGGACGACGAGATCTACAATCTCTATATAACAGCTTCTCGCTAGCATCAATAGTTTACAAGTAATTTGCAAAAAACTGTTTTTTGTTTTTTGCTAATAACTCGGTAACTATTGGCACTAGCGAATTCTTTTTACGCAGTAATTGCAGATCTCGTCGTCCCCTACAAAATGAGCGTACATGCGTCCCCCTACGTCCATCCGCTCGGGAGTTATTGAGGAAAAACGACAATTGCAGAAATATTGCCGTACATAGTGCAGTCAAGCATGTTCGCAGCCGTGAACGCTAGATGGCGCCACGATGAACTTTTTAGCCAAGCACTTTCACTTTTGACAATAAATTTCGTTTTCCGTCAATATCTCCCGAACGGATGGACGTAGGGGGACGTATGTACGCTCATTTTGTAGGGGATTATTATTATTGGGAATATGACTATTCGCTGGATTATTTCTAGTGAAATTTATTTATATTTTGTCTTGCTTATGGACGATTTTTTTAATGTATTTACACGATTTTTGATAATTTCGTTACTGATTTTCAAAGGAAAAAGTACAGCTCGATTCATATTTCGAGTGTCCCATGTTCGACACTACCTCTGAAGTAATTAAGAGGGGGTTTAAGCTGTTAACACCGCAGGTACAAGGATCATTGTCAAACATAAGCTACTCGACGAGCCCGTATTTCCTTTCTCTTTTCTCTTTTCTCTTTCCTTTTCCTTCTTATCATGAGTGCGATCTGTCGGTTCGTTCATCCATCGTAAACACGATCCTTTCAAGTGGATTTCTATAACCAATTTTAATCTCTTTTGCTTGTAAGATTATCAATGGACTCAGAGACAAGATGACAATTATAAGAATTTACAATTAGATAAAATACCACAAGTTATTTAAGAATGTCTCACTATATGAGATAAAGAGAGAAATAACCATTTCATAACTGATTATTTTGATTTATTTGTTTATAGTTTATGATTTTATAACTGATATGTTATAATTTTATAACAGTCAAGGATCACGATAAAATTAGTTCTCATACATAGAAGGAATACTCGATTAGAAATA